CGTTGCATGTTCTTGACATGGACGCTAATGCACTAAAAAAAATCTCGATAGCAAACTATCTACAAAAATGGAGATGTTGTTTATGCATGACCAATCTAGAAATATCCAAGCATCTTTGCAAAGACTACCCCTTCACTAGAGTGGTCTGGACTCTATTATCCTTCCCTGGTTCGATCTTAGGCATCTCCAGAACCTTGACATGACAGGCGCTATCTACAAAGTGTGACAGAAATCAAGGCATACAATCGAGAAGGAGCAAAGAGATTTTGGTAGAACATTTGGAAGGAGTGCATTCGGAGAACCTTTCAAAATGCATCTCTACAACCATTGCAGCTCGCTCTTCTGATTAAGGTGGACATCGACCGCCTTTTAATTTCAAGCCGGCTTCCAGACATAATGTTACAACATAGGGGACCTAGGTTAGTTGTTTTAGCAGTGGCTGTAGTAGTTGTTTTGTTTCCCTTCTCGATCTCCTTGAAGGCCATGTGCCTAGTTTCGTCGGGTCACCTTGTGTCAGCGTTAGCCGTGACAGTGTCTGTTTTTTTTTTCAAACTCCTTTTCTCCTCTTTTTTCTATGAGCTGTGTTCCCCTTTTGTAAGTGTTGGTTTCTTCTTTCCAATTTAGCTCAGCAAATCTCTTGCTGAGTTTTCAAATCAAAAGAAAATAAAAAAGAGCAGGACACGGGAGTGAGCGAGGCGGACGAGAAATATTACATGCTATGTTGAACCACATAATAGCCGATGAACTGCATGAGCTAGGGATGGGACCAGGCTTTGAAGCTCATCAGCTGGAGCAACAGCTAGTAGCAACACTAGTCGTGTTGTCGTTGCGTCCGTACATGTCGTCGTCCCGGCCGGATGGAGAGGTGGTGGTGAGTCGTCGCTAGCTCCAAGAAGGCTCGAGCGGCGCACCACCGCAAATGGCGCGGCAGCAGCATTTGCAAAAATGCAGCGATGCAGGGGCAGGAGGACCAGGGGGGAGCACGAAACACGAGCGAAGCATCTCATCTGGGCTCTGGCCGCCGAGAAGTTGCCAGCGCCAGCCTCAGCTCCCCCGGCCCTCGCCGCTCGCTCACACCATGGCACCATGCATCGAGCCATTAATTGTTAAACTAAACCGCCACTGATTACAATAACATTACTCCTACTAGCTAGGATACTTAATTGCGACAGTAGAAGCCATGGTCGTTGACTCTCTCGATCGAGAGACACATGTGCGAGCTGTCTGCATCCATGCGCGCGTGCTCTAACGTTTATCATGTAGCAGCGCCAATGCGTGTCCTCCGAGCCTTGAGATCTGGACGCACGCGTAAGCTAGCAAGCCAACCCAAAGCCTAGCTAGCTGCCTCTCTGCTCGCGGCCATCGCGGATCATGTCGCCATGCCATCCCTGCAACGGGTGAACACACCTCGTGTCCTGCTGCTTGCCACCCCTGCCATCCCACACAAACACCAACGACACACAGCCATGGCAGCATCGCATGTGTATGTGCATTTATGTATGTATTCGTGCTCATCATCCCGTTCTTGCGCAAACACGTACTTAAGGGTCAAATATTACAGTAACATTAACAGGTAGAGTAGCTACCAACCTCGCTTTAATTTGCTGCTCGGCAACATGCACTGCACCGCACATCCTACATCTACCAGCTTGGGATAGAAAGGGGATGTGAAGGCCAATATTCTTTCACATTTATTGATCAGAGTGAGGAATTCATCAATTTGGAGGTTTATCAGACCAAGAGGCAGGCCTAAATAGGTGATTGGATTTAGAGAAGTTTAGTCTTAGCCCATTTGCTTCACAGAAAGTACAGAGGATTGCTTTCAAGAAGAAAGTTGCTTTGTAGATACCTCCATGATGATTAAGGTATCATAAAACATTTTGTGGGATGGGGAAGTCTGCGTAGCCAAATGAAAGAATTGGCAAAGGTAATAAGCAGTCCCAAGGTGGTGGCTTTGTTTATAATGTTTTGAAGAAAGACTGTCTCTAAGATAAAAAGGAGAGGGGAGAGATGATTTCTTTGTCTAACTGCTCTTCTGCAATGAAAAGTCTTTCTTGACACAGATAAAGAAGAATCTTCAGAATGCCTAAATTTGCAACAGACAAAAGCGACCACCAAAGTAAATGACTTAGCACCAAGAACTTTCTTGGGTGGGGGAAAAGTTGAGATTTTGAAGAGCTGTGGCTGAGAGCGAAGAAGAGGGAGAAGATGGATACCTAGATCATAGGAGGGGTGATGAGGCTTACTCAAAGGAATGGTGTCCTAGGGTGGAGCTTGAGAGCGCGGGGTAGGCAAGGCGGAGCACAACCTCATGCTTTTCTTCCCCTATCGTAAGGCCCATGGCTGTCAACCATTGCTATGTTTTGTCTACTGGTTGCTTATTGCTGGAAAAAGTCCTGTCCAAGGCCTAACAAAGGGACAAATGAAGAACTAGGTGCCTTGCGTTGGATAGTGCCGGTGGCGGTTGCCTAGCTGGAGAGAGAGAGAGAGATTCTAGGCTATTCCTGGATGGAGATAGTTGTGCCTTGTGCCACAATGTGACAAACTGTGGATCATTTGATCTTTGAATGTGTCTTCTCTCATGTGGGGTGACACCATGATTCATGGTTGATGGCGCTACAGTTTCCGAGTTCTGGTGCTTATGTCGCCCTTCGAACTTCATCATCTGATCTTTGAATGTGCCTTCTCTCATGCGGCGTGGCACCATGCGTACTGGATTCATGGTTGATGGCGCAAGAGTTTTCGAGTTCTAGTGCTTTTGTCGCCCTTCAAACCTCCATCATCTGATCTTTGAATGTGCCTTCTCATTTGCGGTGTGGCACCATGCATACTGGATTCATGGTTAATGGCACTAGAGTTTTCAAGATCTTGTGCTTATGTCGCACTTTAAACCCCCATCATTTGATCTTTGAATGTGCCTTCTCTCATGTGGCATGGCACCATGCATACTGGATTCATGGTTGATGGTGCCAGAGTTTCTGAGTTCTTGTGCATATGTTGCTCTTCAAACCCCCATCATTTATTCTTTGAATGTGCCTTCTTCTGTGTGACATGGCACCATGTATACTAGATTCATGGTTGATGGCGCTAGATTTTTTGAGTTCTGGTGCTTATGTCGCCCTTCAAACCTCATCATCTAATCTTTGAATGTGCCTTCTCCCGTGCGACGTGGCAGGATGTATATTGGATTCATGGTTGATGGCACTAGATTTTCTGAGTTCTTGTGCTTATGTCGCACTTCAAACCTCATCATCTGATCTTTGAATGTGCCTTCTCCCGTGCGGTGTGGCACCATGCATACTGGATTCATGGTTGATGGCGCTAGACTTTCCAAGTTCTGGTGCTTATGTCGCCCTTCAGGCATCCATATTATTTGATTTTTGAATGTGCCTTCTCCCGTGTGTCGCGGTACCATATGTACTGGATTCATGGTTGATGGCACTAGAGTTTCCGAGTTCTGGTGCGCATGCCGCTCTTCAAACCCCCATCATTTGATCTTTGAATGTGCCTTCTTCCGTGCGACATAGCACCATGTATACTGGATTCATGGTTGATGGCGCTAGATTTTCCGAGTTCTGGTTCTTATGCCGCCCTTCAAACCTCCATCATCTGATCTTTGAATGTGTCTTCTCCTGTGCGGTGTGGCACCATGCATACTGAATTCATGGTTGATGGCGCTAGAGTTTTTCAAGTTATGGCGCTTGTGTTACCCTCCAAACCTCCTAGCTAAAAACATGATTATGCTTTCATGCTCCTGATGTGCTAGATGTGCTTTGGAAGTGTAGGAATGAAATACTGTTCAATGGCTGCCCACCCTTCTTAGATCACTAAAGGAACATAAGAGGAGGGCCTACGAGTTGGGAGGAAGTGACACCACATGGGAACTCCAAAGAGATCCAGCGAGGTAAGGAAGCACCGCCGTGGGGTTGGAGGGAAAGAGGAAACTGGATAGTACAGTACGAAAATGCACAGAAGGATTTCATGGGGCGTACTAGCTTATTATTTTGTTCCTTTTTTCAAATTATTTTTCTGGTAAACAATTATTAATCCATCATGATACTGTCTTGGTATCTAGGTTAAACCGACCTATATATGTCAAGTTGACAAGTAGTACACTCTAGCTATCATACCAAATATTGGATCCTGCGTATCAAAAGAAAAAATATTGGGTCTTGCAACTCATTCTTTTGGTTTCTTTGTTCGTCCAAACTAACCCGTGACTGGACACAAGTAAAATTTGTATAATGTGTGCTTAACCTTTGCCTAGTTGATTGATTATTCGTCTGTGTATTTGTTACTTAATCTCCACCAGTTCACACGTCCTTATTCAGAAATCTGTTATCTCAGAGAAGAGATATTATTCAGAACTTCAGATGAGATCTCCTGCCTAAAAAATGCATAAACAAAACATGCAATTGCTCAATCAAGGCTTTAAAATATTTAACAACTGGTGTGGCCTACTGTCACTCGTTAATCTCAAGGCACAAGGTTTACAATGAGTATTTAACATCTGATTTTATTCAGACGATCTGAAATCAGGTGGAAATACGTATAGAAAACAGAGAACAGAGGCCAAGAACGATCCTGCCACCGTGGCTACTGCATCACATCACGCGCGCGTACACCCACTTGCTCTGTCTGACAACCGCGTTCAGGCTTCTCCTGCAAACGCAAAGGCGGGCACACTGTCACTGGCAATGCTAGCGCGTGAGCGTGATCGACCCAGCAGAGCAGACCTTCATCGTTTTCCGTACTTTTCGCGTGGCTTATAAGTTATATTTTTTCAGCCAACGAATATTATTATTTTTTTTCCGCAAATCAGCAAACGACCCTTTCAACTGCACACATGGCCCGCCCGCGCCTGCTAACCTAGACATGCCAGCCACGCACACCTCTCCACGCCGACACGAGCTACCACACCAGCTCCGCCTCCGCCTTCTTTATAAGCAAGGAACACGCACGCCGCAGACACAACCAGCGCTAGCTCCATCGGCGGAAGCATGGCGCCCAGCTTCGCCCGCTCCATCTCCTTCCCTCTGAGCCCGTCCAGGTCGTCGTCGACCAAGCCCCGCTCGGCGTCCTCCGCCGCCGCCGCATGCCACGCCCGGTCCGTCAGCCTCCCGTGCCGCTCCCACCCGATCCTCGCGCACCTACACGTGCACATCAGCGCAGTGCGCGCGTGGGCGCAGTACGCGGCCACCTCCGGCGCCGCCACGGGCCTGGCGCACGTGGACGCGCTCCACGCCGCGCTCGGCGACCTCCTGGACCTCCCCGAGGCGCAGGCCGCGCTCTCCCTCTCCGCCACGGGCGACCGCCTCCTGGACGCCTTCCTCCGCCTGGCCGACGCGCACGGCAGCTTCCAGGAGGCCGTGGTGGAGCTGAAGCGGGACGTGGCGGAGGCGCTGGCCGCCGTGCGCCGCCGCGACGGCGCGCGCCTGGCCTCCGCGCTCCGGTCGCAGCGCAAGGCCGGCAAGGACCTCGCCCGCCTCGCGGCCTCCGCTGCCAGGGACGGCGCGGCCGGCGGCGGCTGCGGCAGGCCCTCACGTCTCGGCCTCAGCAGCGCGGCGGAGGTCGAGGTGGCCGCGCTGCTGGCCGAGGCCGCCGCGGCCACGGCCGCCGCGTCGGCCGCGCTGTTCGGCACCGTCGCCGCCATGTCCGCGTCGGCCTCCGCCGCCGCGTGCTCCTGCAAGAGAACCGCGGCGCTCATGTGCCTCACCAAGAAGGTGTCGGAGGAGGAGAAGGAGACGGTGGCGCTCGTGGAGAGGCTGGAGGAGCTGGAGGAGTGCATCGACGGCCTGGAGGCCGGCAGTGACAAGGTGTTCAGGACCCTCGTGCAGACCAGGGTTGCGCTGCTCAACATACACACCCACATCTTCTAGCTCCAGCTCCAGCCTCCAATCTAATTCATCTCTCCAAGCTAGTGAATCATAACAAATGCATGTGCATGCTGTTTACTTGTTGATTAGCAGTCAGAAATTAAGATGCATGAGTGTAACTGTAACTCTGTAAATACGTGAGGTTTTTGTGCAGTTACGTTTGTGTATGTTTCCTGTTGCATTGTGAAATCTTGACATGTAAATGAAGACCATGTGCAACTATGAAAACTAAGGAGCAAGACCTAATTTTTCCTTCGGATTTTGCCGAGGTTTAACAGAGTGTGGTTGGTTAGCTTGTATTTTTAGTTCGTTTTGGAGTTTGTTCAGTGCCCGCGTCTCATCTCTCTGAATGAAAAGCACACGCTCGGTGCTACATTATATGTTCTGCAGCTCCAGACTGTGCTCCTGGATCAATCAAAATTGGGAATGTTACTTACCAGGCCCATATAGAGTTGATTGATTACTTACTTTCAAGGATAATGGCCCATATACAGTTTGACCGACTAATTTTTACTTTGAAGGCTCAACTACTAGGAGTCCCTTGATTGATTTTGAGTTTCACACGGGTGAGGCGAGGGGGCTAACCATGACATGGCTGAATCTCAGCACTCCAATGTCCATCTAATGGCTCAGACTAAACCACTTTAGTAGGTGAACAGTTGGTTACGTCTTATGTGCTCATAAAATCCACGTTAGTGTGTGTGGACTTAGCAAAATTTAGAATTCATCTTTTGATTCAAGACATAGAAGACCATGCATTTCCAACAGGAAGTCCACAACATGATAAAAATAAACAACACACTATATAAAAGGACACTGTATTGGAGTGGAAACCTTTATAGGCTGGGGGGCATATGCCCTTGTAACTCCATATTAGTGTTGCAAGGGTCTTTACCAACAGATTTAATATGTGTTGCTATATATATGTGTCGTGTATGCAAAGTAATTATTGATGGTGGTAGTTTCACAGATGCCATTAGTTCTGATATTGTGCATGCTTTATCTTTATCTACGAGGAGGCTTCCAACACCGTGTTATATGCAATGGATGAACCAAAGTGGCACACTAAAATTTACTCATAAGGCGCGAGTTAAATTTTCCATTGGAAATTATGTTGATATAGTGGACTATGATATTGCACCGGTGAGTGCATGCCATTTATTGTTGGGTCAGCCATGGCGGTTTGATCTTGATGCTACTCATGGTGGTCGTTCTAATAATTTTTTGTTTGTGCATAAGGGAATTTTATTTGTAGTATATTCGAGAAGAACCATAACTTTGTAGTTGATTATTTTTTCCATTTGAAATCGTTTAGGGCTCAAAAATTATGTTTTAAGATTAAAGATTTTAAAATTCATATTTTTTTTCAATTTTCTCAAATGACCTCAGATGGATTAATGATCAAAAGCAAAGCTGTCGCTCTCGATGAGATCTAAAAATTTTTAGTTGAAACTTTTTTTATTTGAATTTATTTAGGGCTCCAAATCTTCGTTTCAAAATCTGGTGGAGTAAATACGGGGAGGATTGTTTCTCCTTTTAAGTCACAAGTGACTTTAGGGAGCATTGGTAAGGGGTGTATCGTTTTAGGCCTGAGGTTGTGAGTTTGATTTCTAGGTACTATGACTTGTGCATATTTATCAAATCGCTAGAAATTAGGGGTGGCATCCTAGGGTGGGCCTCCCCCTATAAAAAGTTTTTTTTGCTATTTTTAGGATGATTTGTATTTTTTGAAAATCATTTACACGGGATGTTTAAGAAAACTGCCACTGTAAATTTATGGTAGTGGGTCCTTAAGAAAAACGCCAGTGAAGTTCGCGATTTTCACTGACCTTTCGCACTAGCGAAAGCTAGAAAGCCTGTGAAAATGGGTTTACAACCACCGATACTAATGTTCTGTGTAAATAGCCAGATTATTATAAATAGGGACATAGTTGAAGCTAGTAGATCGATAACAGTGTCCATGTTCATCTTCTTAATGAATAACTGGCACTTCTGCATGTAAAGGTCCAATTTGCACTTGACTTACTAAGACAATGGAGGCCAAAAGAAATAGAGAGAATTCCTTACTTGACACTGGGAAAATGAGTCGTTCCTTTTTTGGTCTTGAAATTTTCTTCGTTCCCTATTTGACACTCACTTCAACTTTCGTTCCTAATTTGACACTGCCGTCAAATCCGTTAGCTAACGGTGTTAACTGGCCGTTAAAAAGACGTTTTTGCCCCTAGAAAAAAAACGGCGAAGCAAATTTGAGAGGAAAAAAACCTACGCCCGCCTCTGATGCATGCGCCCAGCTAAAAAAAAGGCACAGGTTTTTTTTTCCTCTCAAAATTGCTTCGCCGCTTTTTTTTTTCTAGGGACAAAAACGTCTTTTTAACGGCCAGTTAACACCGTTAGCTAACGGATTTGACGGCAGTGTCAAATTAGGAACGAAAGTTAAAGTGAGTGTCAAATAGGGAACGAAGAAAATTTCAGGGCCAGAAAGAAACGACTCATTTTCCCAGTGTCAAATAAGGAATTCTCTCAAAGAAATACTTGATGATAAAAAATTAAAGATTTCAGAGATGTAATAGAGCAAGTGATATCTCTTTCATATGTGTTTGGAATTAATCTCATAAATAGTGGTGACCTTGCCCTTGTAATGGGAGAAATAGAATAAAATTTGCACCTCCTTTTGTGAAAATTATAGCGGCATGTTAACATTGCAGTTCGATGTGGTGTTGCTTTTGCAAAAGAACATTATTATGGGAAAATTGGTCGTGTAGCATCGAAGGATCGCGATCTCTATAAAATACCACTGAAAGTTTGCGCCCCCGTAAAATACCATCGAAAGATTGGATCGTGAACTGAAAGTAGCTGTCGGTGCAGAAAGTTACCAACAAGTAAATATTTGTAGTTTTGCTGTATATTGTGATCGGAGGTGGTCTAACACTCAATGACACATGGTTTATACTGGTTCAGGCAACCTTCCCTACGTCCAGTTTGAGTCGGTCGGTGACTTTATTTCTGAGCCCAGGTACTCGAAGTTTGCAGTGGGGTTACAAACGAGAAGGAGAAAGATGGGGGGTACAAGAGGTCCGGTCGGACTCTGGCCAGACGGACCGAAAAGCGCCAGGAGCTCCGCTATGAGCTAAGTGTACAAGCGTGTGCTCGTGGTTCGAACCTGGCGGCTCGGTGATGGTGTCCTAGTGAACTCGATCGATCTAATGAATCTGAGTGAGCTTGAATAAATCTCCATGTTGGGAGAGAGCGCATCCCCTTTTATAGATGAAGGGGATGGCCTTACAAGTGAGAGAGAGAGAGTATGTATGCTTCTAATCCTTGTTGCTCACACCGGCGGTTACAGGATGATGGTAGGCGCCCACAACACTGTTGGATGTCAGATGCACGTGGGGGTTGCGTTGTCTTCTTCAGGTATGGCAGACGTCGGTACCTGCTATACTGTTGATGCCCAGAGACATGTGAGAGGTTTTACCATGTTTGCCCGGAACGGTAAATGCCAGCGCCTACACACTGTTGATGCCCAGAGGCATGTGGGGGGAGCCTGCCCATATGGGAGTTAATGGCGTCCACAATACTATAGGGGGAAATGTCGGTGCCTACAACACTGTTTGGGCTCTGTCGTGCCAGGGATGCTGTAGAGTACTGTTTCTGCAAGTGCATAGGGTACGGACCCTGGTATTGCGGTTTGACTTGTGTGCCCTACCTTGCTTTCTCCGTTCGTTCCCTAGCCCTTACCGAGCTGGCATCCCCCGTCGGTTGGTTCCAGTCGGCTCTGATTGCGTTAGTTGGAGAAGAGCAGTGAGCAGGGGCTTGGCGCACCCCCGGTTGGAGACGCGGGTCGGAGTCGGAAGTAGTGTTTTGGCCGATCCTTCCGGTCGAAGAGGCCGTCCGGAGGCGGGCTGAATACCGGAGCGAGCGCTCTGGTCGGAGAGGTGGGCTGGAGTCAGAAGATGGGTGCCGTTCCTCCTCGGCCAGACCTTTCGGTCGGTGATTGGATTGCCCTTCTGGCCTGCCGTTTAGATACCTGTGCCGGCCCATGAGTTGCGCGTTTGTCTACTTGGGCCGAGCCTCTGTTGGGAAGCCGGTCCACAAGGGACCCCGGGTTTATGAACCCGACAGGAGCCCCCGAGCCCCCGGGCGATTCGGGTATAATCGTCTGGGAGATTTCTGTTTTTGACGACGGGTACGCGCGAGCGCACCCGCGGGTGCAGCCCCCGAGCCCCGGGCGATTCGGGCAGAATCGTTTGGGGGTTTCTGCGTGTTGCCTGTGGGGGAAGCTTTTGTTTTGTCAGTGGGTGCGCGCGAGCGCACCCGCGGGTGTAGCCCCCGAGCCCCTGGGTAATTCGGGTAGAATCGTTCAGCGGTTTTTTTAGCTGGCATGTGTGCGTTATGTTTTAGTCGAGACGGAGTCGTCAACCAAGGCGTCGTTGCGTAGCTGAGGCGTTTTTAGTTTTGCAGGGATCAGACGAGACGGAGCTCTCGGATCTGGGCGTCGGTGCGCGCCGTGGGATCGGGCGAGTCAGTTAGTTACGGATCGGACGAGACAGAGCTCGTGGATCCTGGCGTCGGTTCGCGCCGTGGGATCGAGCAAGTTGGAGTCGTGGATCCTATCCTCGGTGCAGCCCACGCAGCCAAGGTAGTTTGTTAGTTAGTTTTAGGGATCAGACAAAATGGAGCTCACTGATCCTGGCGTCAGTGAGTGCCGTGGGATCGGGCGAGTTTGATTCGTGGATCCTGATTGGGCGAGTTCGGGGTCGTAGACCCAGGCAGTTGGTGTGTAGTCGAAGCGTAGCCAGATGGGGCGAGTTCGGGGTCGTAGACCCTAGCCTCGGTGCAGTCCGCGCAGCCGAGGCAGTTAGTTAGTTAGTTTAGGGATCGGATGAAACGGAGCTTGCGGATCCTGGCGTTGGTGCACGCCGTGGGATCGAGCGAGTCGGAGTCATGGATCCTGATCGGGCGAGTTCGGGGTCGTAGACCCAGGCATTTTGGTGTCTTGAGCCCCC